ACCTTGTGACCCAATTTTATTGACCTAGGTCAAACCGATGACGTCACAGGTCAGGTCAAAGGCCCAATTTTCACCGTTTACAGGCACTTCAAGAAATGCGTTGTAAAATCGAGTAAAATACATTTCATTGAAAATCATCGATGGGGAAATGTTCTTCAAACACATATTTTGCTATTTGAGGTCACTGATACCAGGTCAGGTCACAGAGGTCAGGTCACGGGGGGTCACAATATGAAAATGTCGTGTGATACATGTTTTATGGTCCATTTTACATGACAAATGCGATTATATGGGTGAGGCAGCCTTTGGGGCCAGCTTAGATCACGTTTTCGTCAAGGTCAGGTCAAGGTCAGGCCAAGGTCAGGTCAAATTAGGTCAAATTTCAAAGTTAATATTTTTGCATAAAATGGGTATCGAATCGATGCAGCTCGTCACGGGGAGTTCAATGGTGGTCTTTGTTTTGCCGTACGTGGTCTAGAATTGCTAAAAATTGAGTTCAAAAATTTGACGTCATCATTTTTGAACAGTTTTTTCGCTATAACTTGGCCAAAAAACGAGATATCGATCTGAAATTTGGTATGTATATAGAAGAGCGCTGGGACTATCACATACATTCCGGTTTTTTCGAAATTCGGAAAATTTTTGGATTTTTTCAAAGTTTTTCTAAAAAAATCAATTTTTTGAATTTTTTTTGGTCAAAAACCAAAAATTTTGAAAATCCGAGATAGCAGTTTTGTAGCGCCGCTTTTTGTCTACTAGACCATATAAAGAACTTTGAAATTGCTTGACAACTGTAGATTTGGTGAGCGTTTCAATATTGCATGTTTTTTGCTCATTTTTGCTCGAACATGACCTCAGTTTGACCTCAATAACTCCTGACCTAAGGTGACCTAAGACTTGAAATTTGGTGTGAAGGTGTCAAATTGATGCCCGGGAAGGTACTGAAAATTTGGCGGCGCTGCGCGCCGCCGTTTTACTGCTATTCAGGAAAAACCACAGGGGGGGGCCAAAATGGCCCCCCCAACGGGGCGAGGGTTAAGGGAGGTCCGAGATTGGGGCCTGTAAAATTGCACTGTCCGTATGGGCGGTTACACCCCTAGTGCTAGGGCGTACCTATTTTGCGTTTTTTTACTGGGGAGATGATTATGACCAGGAATAGCACTCTGCAAACTTCTATGGGCGCCTGTATAGGGGCGAAACTGATTTTCCAGTGCAGGGACGGCCATCGGCATTGTGGGGCAGCATTCATTCCACTGGGGCGTCTGCCAGTGTTGAAGGGCGGTATTCATTTCAATGAATTCATTTCATTTCAATGTTTCAATTCATTTCAATGAATACCGCCCTATATGGTAAGGGGCGCCTATGGTAAGGGGCGTATATGGTAAGGGGCGCCCAGCGGGAAGGGGCGCTTCAATATCGTTTGCACCCCTATCCTAGAATACCTTCCGCCGCCACTGAGTAGACACCACCAGAAGAGGGGGACCCACCTGTGAGGTCTGGGTAGAGCAACAGGAGCAGCGGGCAGAGGAGGGGAGCACAGAGCCGCAGACAGAGCACGTCAGCGACACTAGCGCCGCCTACCGGTCTGGTCCGGAACCTGTGGTTGCCGAGTACACCGCATGGCGAGGAGAATAGGACGAGAGGTTAGTGATCTCCTGAATACCATCCCCCACTGGCGGATACAGTCGCCACCACGACCAAGATGATGCTGTCGGAGAACCCGTGCGTCCTCTGGACACTGCAGCAGAGCCGACACCTGACCACGTCGTCATTAGAAGCGGAAACAGCGGTACAGGTGACGTCACATGCCAGGTTCCTGCAACACACTCAAATCTGGTGAATACTACAGTGCAATACTTACGTGTGGCTCTGTGTGGCTATTGGCATGACCCGCAATCCGCCACGTGGAGGCTGCCACATCGGACTGCGTCTCTATTATCGCCCGAGACCCCTCAGGTAGTGCAGAGCCCACCATGTCCTGAGGGAAGACACGGCAGCCATATACGGCCCCGAGTAGCACTCGGTGTGTGCTACTCGCAGCCGATTGGTGGCGGCACAAACGGCCGTTGGGTGAGTCAGCTCTCCAAGCACGGCAGAGGCAGGCTTGTATAGCACTCATCTGTCGTGGATGGCCTACACCAGCTGATCGTGATGGCTGAAAATGTACCGGTGGGTCAGTGCACTGCCGTACAACGACTGGCGTTTTATCATATATTTTTCCATAATATGTCATTGAATAGATAGGTTTACATTCTGATAAATCATAATGTATGCTCGAGCTGGGAAGGTCACCCAAGCCAGCTCCGATAACATGTGCACATGTCAGTTTTCCATTTGTTGGCCCACGTACACCTGTCTGCCCGTGGCTGAACACTGGCTCCTCCAGAGAGACGGACACCCCACCGAGCGTCGGTCCCCGGGCTCTGGTCACCGTCATGGCGACAGCTGGCCGCGCGGGGAACTGGTGACGCCAACAGCGGAAGGAAAACGAGTCATGACGGGGACTGGTAATGCAATAATTATGAGTCTGGTGTCATTTGTGAATGCTGCTAACTACACATCGCCTCGTATCAAGTATATTCACAAACGTTGGAACATAAGCAGGTATGCATCATGCAAAAATAGCCCACCAAACTAACCTGTCTCGGGAGGCCTCTGATCCTGTGACGGGCGAGTGTGCGGCAGCTGAAATGCCGGACTGCCGGATTGGCTCCGGCGGTCGACGGGTCAGCTGCGCCAGAGCCGCACACCCGCCTCCGTCAACCTGCCGGTGCAGTAAACGGACAGGTGATTATTCCAGATGATTTATGAATGGTGTTTTTAGATTCAAGTAGTCAAAATTATTTAGAATAAAGGAAAGGTGGACTTGATAAAGCACAAAACTGAAGCGGGACACGGAAACAGGACACGATAACCGGACAATTGGTAAAATCAATAAGCAGATTATTCCGCTGGTGAACTCACGCACGCTGGTGGTGGGCTTGGTCCTGAGGCCGGCAGTGCTGGTGGCGGTGCTGCCAATACTGACAGGGAACCTGAAAGAAGGGAACCTAAAAGAAATCAATTGTGTAGGTGCCGGTAATACATATATTACCAGCACCTAGACAATTGATTTGTGTTTAGTGGCAGCTTATTTAGGTGCAAAAAAGTCGCATACTTCAGAGCATTGTAATTCGTCACTTTTTACAAGTGTATTTTATGAATCAATTTTCTACAGCACGTCAACTCGATATCCTCCTCAATATTCTATATACGACTCGATACTCGATATGCAGAAGAATAAAGCATATGCCAAACGTCATGCTAAAAGTTATTCAATGAAATTATTGCCTCAAAATGGAGTAAAACTCCACTTTTGCTATCACAACACTCTTCAATCGTTCTCCAATTTCACACTTGACTCTTACCACCCGAGGAGCGGTGACAGCGGTGTGGTGTCTTTCACCTTCTCAGCTGCACCTGAAATGAGATAGCTAAATTAAATGTTTTCATTAGAGATCTATAAATTGGTGGATATGATTGGGAAATGGTATGATCAACAGCTTGATTGTTATCAAGTATAGCTACCAAATGAATTCCAGAGCATCAATTCCCCTAACAAAAAAAAAAAACGTTCCCGAAACTAGCCTGTTTCGGGGGGCCTCTGATCCTGTGACGGGCGAGTGTGCGGCAGCTGAAATGCCGGACTGCCGGATTGGCTCCGGCGGTCGACGGCTCAGCTGCGCCAGAGCCGCACACCCGCCTCCGTCAACCTGCCGGTACAGTAAATGACAAGTTATTATTCCAGGTGATTTATGAATGACGTCATCTGCGTATTTTCAGTTTTACTTTCTTTAGCATCATGGACTACTGTATTACTAATACTACTAGTTACTATATTGCTGACTACTGCATTATCGATATATAGTAGTCTAGGTCGGCATGTAACAAAAAATCACTTTGCAAGTAAATGGCGAAGTACTTGTATGAACAGCATTATGACATATATATGTTTTCAAATATAACCTTATGTTCAATGATTGCGAAATGCAAAAGGTTCCAAAATTAATTACAAAATGATTGCATTTCGCAATCATCGAACATAAGGTTATATTTGAAAACATATAAAAAATCACTTTATAAAAATACACTTTATACAAATACGCAATACATAATACAAAGGACTGCACAAAAATACCAAAATACATATTTGAAATAAAAATATACGGGACACGGGAATAGGGACGCATGGGACACTGACTTAGGAAAATATGTTCATAACAATAAGCAGATTCCGCTGGTGAACTCACGCCCGCTGGTGGTGGGCTTGGTCCTGAGGCCGGCGGTGCTGGTGGCGGTGCTGCCAATGCTGGGACGGGATCTGAAAGACCAGAGATGAATATCCAGCACCTAGCTATTGACCGTTGATTGTTGGTCAGTTACGATTTATGTAGTACCGAGCCAAAAATCGCATATCGATGTAATTCGTTAACTGTCACACAATCTACAAAGTTTTGAGTAATCTACAAAGTACAGGACGTCTACGAGATATCCTATCCTTGAGATCCTATCTTTGAATCAATATTGGAAATGCAGAAGAGTAAAGCTCATGCCAAACGCTCAATAGGATCTTATTTAAATTTGAACTAAAATCGTCAAACTGCGCCACAAACGACTGAACAGAGCGTCACATTGGTCTCTGACCACCAGAGCGGTGTGTTGTATTTCACCGTCTCAGCTGCGTCACCGCCACTCACCCGTCTCAGCCGGTCGGAAACGGGAAGCTGAAATTGAGGGCCGCCATCAAAAATAAATAGAGACAATACAAAGGTCTAACCGGTAAATGATGAAAAAACAGTCACCTCCCATGAAGTGCAACTACAAAGGTTGAATCACAAATATGCATCACACAAGAAGCGTCCCTCAGACTAACCTGTCTTGGGAGGCCTCTGATCCTGTGACGGGCGAGTGTGCGGCAGCTGAAATGACGGACTGCCGGATTGGCTCCGGCGGTCGACGGCTCAGCTGCGCCAGAGCCGCACACCTGCCTCCGTCAACCTGCCGGTGTAGTAAATGGACAGGTGATTATTCACAGATGATTTATCTACGATATGATCGGCATGTTCCTAGTTGTATTTATTTATTTTTCACGTAAAGGGGACTAAATAAAAAAGGTACACGGGGACAGGACACGGAACGGAACACAGGACATTGACACATAAAAATATGTGTATATCAATAAGCTGATTCCGCTGGTGTACTCACGCCCGCTGGTGGTGGTCTTGGTCCTGAGGCCGGAGGTGCTGGTGGCGGTGCTGCCAATGCTGGGACGGGAGCTGAAATATATAAATATTTAGCACTTACACCATTTGTAGGTATACATCGTAACTTGTAGTTTTTTTTGCGACATGAAAACTGACTTACATAGGTATCGCTTGCAAGATTCCTCACAATATTTCTAAGATGATGGTAGGAATAAACTAACACTAAGCATACACAAAGCTGTTTGAGATTACTATCAAATCCTTTATCAATGTATTGATAACACATACACAATTCATGCGTGTCTGTCCACTGTCAGTACAATACTAAAACACTCACGGAGGCTGGTGGTGGTGATTCCGGAGCCGGTGGTGCTGGTGCTGGTGCTGAAGATGGCTGGTGGTGATGGTGGACCTAAAATAAATGGTAATTTTCATCAATATTTGCTCAAATTTTTATTTATATTTGCTGAGGTTCTGTAGAAAATTGAACACTTTTGAGATAAACGACCTCAGTTTTGACGTAACAGCCAAACATTTATGAGGATATGTTTGTTTCGTCGTAACAAGCCTTAGCCTGCTAATAACACAAACACGCAAACAAACAAACAAACAAAAAAAACACGCAATCGATATTTTAATGTTAGTTGAAACATACAAATGGAAACAACACAAAGGTCAAAGGTTTGGCAAAAGGGAGTATTTCTGGAGCCGCACCTACCTGCTGGTGGTGGACTTGGTGCTGGTGGTGGTGCTGGTGGTGCTGCTGGTGGATGGTCTGAAAGGAAAGAAATACAAATTAACCGCAAATAGATCGGCAACTGTTCAGAAATACAATGGGTTCACCTCTGAACCAGTCTAATGGTCAGAAAGAAAAAAAAATCATGACGGAGTCCGTTATCAATATTTGAGTGAGGATGGTACTGCAGTTCTTCCATTGCGTTGATTATGAAGAAGAAATTACTGACAAAATATCATGTGCAGCATAGGAAAAAAGTTTTTCGTTTTCAGTTTCAATCAAAGATCAGCCACTCACGGGGGCTGGTGGAGGACTTGATCCCGGAGCCGGTGGTGCTGGTGGCGGTGCTGGTGATGGTGGTGGACCTAAAATAATACAAATGTTTTAACCCGCGCCCCACTGGGGGGGGGCTATTTATAGCCCCCCTCCCGTTTTTCTGCAATAACTTCCAAACCGCTTGACGTATCGACGCCAAACTTTCAGTACCTTAGGCTGCATCAATTTGACACCTTGTGTCAAAATTTGAACTTCGTACCTACAATAGGTCGTCCGAAAATGACGTCAGAGTGACGTCATGTTCGGCCGATTTCGACGCAAAACATTGAACCACGGCAATCGCTCCCAAGAGCTCAGTTTTTAAGCTAGATCCAATTTCGTTGCATGAGAGGACTCAGAATAAACTGCGCTATCAAACTGCAATCTCGGATTTTCGAAATTTTGAAAATTTTGAAAATTTTATATAATAATATCCAAAATTTATATTTTTACATTTTTTTTTTCAAAAAGTTTTTGGCTTTTCGAAAAAAACCGGAATATATGTGATAGAACGCATTATTATGACTAACTCTAGCAAGTTTTAGCTAAATATCTTCAAAAATGGCCAAGTTTTACGCATTATTGCAAAAAATTCACTTTTTTTTAATTATTTATTTTTTAATCAATTTTGCAGCACGTATTTGACATCGTACGCCAATATAAATAGCACCATCGTGTTCCTGAGCTCAAACTGCATCCAATAGACACCTTTTTTGTTAAAAATTTTTAACTTCAAAATTTGACCTTTTTTGACCTGAAAGTGACCTAACATAAGCTAAATTCGACTCAAAATGACCTCAAATAACACAGACGACATCAAATTCGAAATCTCTGACCTAAATTGACCATAAAACATGTGTCACGTGACCGACGCATGATATAATATTTTCGTGACCTGTAATGACCTGACCTTGACCTGAAAATCAAAGTACAAGTTTGTTACCCTCAGGGTAACTAGAGCATCTGTTCCCGAGTGTGTGATCCAAAAATGAGCCTGGTCTGACTTGTAAGACGGCGGCCAGAGCCCAAAACGTGATCAAGCCAAAATGCTAATAATTTTTACTTTGACCTGACCTGTGACGTCATCGGTGACCTCGAGGTCAATAAAATTAGGTTTCGCTCGACAGTTTTTCCGGGGCTATTAGACGCCGTTTGAATTTTGACGATCGGCCTAGTAGTTTCGGAGTTAGGAGGGGGGGCTATGAATAGCCCCCCCCCCAGTAGGGCGTGTTATACGCAGACCCCAGTGGGGCGCGGGTTAATAACTAGGTACGCAGAGACCAATTAACGCCGCATATAATACAGATAGGCAATAAAACTGCTAACCACACAACCATTGGTTTGACGTTACATACGTAGGCCTAGGTATATTGTACCAAACTCTTCTTATATTTTGATAGAAATATTGTAAGAAAAAGGAACAAAAGATGATAATTGTGGTTATTTGACGCAAAAACACGACCATTCATAACACCAGTAAAACGATTTTTGGGCGAAGAACGAGCGAGCGAGATAGTGAGCCCTGCACGTGCGGAAGGGCGAGAGGGTACTTCCAACGGGGCTTGTGCAAAGCACCCTTCTAAACGGTCGCTAGCGGGGTGCCAAATTTGAACGCAATCGGCCCAGTCGTTCCTGAGATCTAGAAGCGGCATTCTGCACGTGCGCACGTGCAAACGGGGTCCAAACTGACTTTTGCACGGCACCCTACTAACCGGTCCCCAGCCGTGTACCAAATTTGAGCACAATCGGCCCAGCCGTTCTCGAGATCTGGAAACGCCCCCTGCACGTGCGCACGTGCAGTAGCACCCTAACTGCAACACATGGGAATGCATTGCCTGGCGGGTGCCTAACTGTATGCCAAGTTTCAGCGAAATCGCCCAAGTAATTACCGAGTTATTAAAATGGGAACAAATTTGACACCTCTTATTGTTGTATTTTGCACGTGCACTGGGGATGACCCACATGCATCGAGAGTATCCTATTTTTGGTAGAAGGGATGCAGTTGCCCTACAAAAACTATCGCAAGACAATCGCCCTAGCGGCTGCTGAGATATGAGCCTCTCAAAATCACTACTTTTGCAAAACAGCTTGAACACCCTTGACTTTTCACGTGGCACGTGCCACGATGGTCACTGAGATGTATCAAAAGTAGTCAATTACGGGGTAAAGGGAAGGGGCTACCCAACAAAAAAGACCGCAGGCCAATCGGTCCAGCGGTTGCTGAGATATAAGCCTCTCAAAAGCGTTACAGGCCGGGCCGGGCCGGGCCGGGCCGCTCATACTGAGATTTGTCCCGTTATATTGAAAAGACTTCGCTTCGCTCGCTGCGCTCGCTCGCTCGTAAAAATGAAAATTCAGAACTGATCGTCTTGCAGTTGAAAAAAAATCATCTAAGATAAAACTTGTATTCTATCAACATTCATTACAATAATTACCAAAAAATGTATTTCCTATTGACGAGTAAGGCGGGCGACAGTGTTCCCGCCGATATCACGTCTGTACTCACGGAGGCTGGTGACGGGCTTGGTGCTGAGGCTGGTGGTGCTGGTGGTGGTGCTGGTGGATGACCTCACATGTTGAGTTTTACTTGTTATTTAGGTATTGTAAGAAAAATATGGCGTTCACTTTGTCTTAACCCGTTTTGCGCTAATTATAATTCCTGATTGAATATTTGGTACAATTCAAAGTATGGCCTATCGGTATAGGTATGAATATGATGACAAAAAAGCAGACTATATCAATGTGTCTCGAACTTGCAACTAAAATAAAACAACTACGCTTTTATGGGCAATTGATGATAAGACACTTACGGACGCTGGTGACGGGCTTGGTGCTGAGGCCGGTGGTGCTGGTGGCAGTGCTGGTTGGTGGTCTGAAGGGAAAAAAATATAAATTAACCCATTTACGCCCTTCGTTGCGTTTTCGCAACGCAAGCAAGCGTCGACGTGATCGAAGCTTGAGAAGTGTGTAAAAGAGACTAACCGATGAGACAAGTTTCAGCGTGTGTAGCATGGTTGCGCGCATGATGCTACGCAGTTACAAGTCTGTGCGGCCGGTAAGTTACTGCCTAGAGCTCCCAGAGGGAAGTCGAAGGTTTTGTGAGTGATGACGTCACGAAAACCAAGATAAGTAGGCTAAGTGCTTAACAATATCGTAATGAAAATTGTGTAAACATACTCTGCAGAGTCCTTACAATAGCGTAGATATGCATTTTGTTAAGAAATAATGCTACAAAAAGGGTTTGTGACTATTTTCAAATATGACTACGGTCGCGTTGCGGGAACGCAACGAAGGGCACATGGGAAAGACAGCGGTGTTGCGAAAACGCAACGATGGGCACATTTGCAGGGTAGCGGAAGTATGAATATCAACAATAGACTTCACTCGTGATACGCTGTGGGTTCTCTCTTTCTCTCCCCCATCTTCCTCCCTCTCCTCCTCGTTCCCCAACTCTCTCCCTCTCTCTCTCTCTCTCTCTCTCTCTCTCTCTCTCTCTCTCTCTCTCTCTCTCTCTTTCTTTCTCTCTCTCATTTTGTAGCCATGAGGCTGTAGCGGCGGAACATCTTCAATTAAGGGCGGGGGGGGGGGGCACTGCCGACTTTTGGTCCCATTCTTTCCATTTCCATTTCCATGCAACGCCTATAGGGATAATGTTAAAATGGCAAAATCAAGGGGGGCACGGTGCCCCGGTGCCCCCTCCCCCCACGCTTCGCCGCCTATGCCATGAGGGTCGAGGGACGTGCATAGGTATGTTTATTGCAAGGTGCGTTCGCACGTAAAATGTTGCGACACATTTCATATTTGCTGGCTCAAACAGCCACAAACACTCCTTTCTTATTCTCTCGCAGATTTCGGCCTCGGGCTGTTACTAAGCAATGTGTCCCCATGCATCTGAAAATCGCATGGTAGGAAAAGGACCCATGCATCAAACGGTCGGCGATGCTAACGGAGCTGAGAGATAATTAGGTCCTTTGGAAATTGGATCTACTATGTACATTGTGCATATATAATGAATAAGGGGATGTATTCTGGTATCAGGCGACCGATAGGCATCGCCATTCTCTGGATAGAATCTGCTGACTACCAACATTTGCGTTAGAAAAGATAACTGAGGGTCGGCAAATATTGGGATAGGCCCCCTCTGGGGGTAGCTGAGCCCTTCGGCAGGGGTAATGAGGGCGGACCTGGGAAAATAATGATTTTTAGGATTCATAACTCGCATAGATTCATAAGCTGCTTAATGTAGAGTATACGCTTGTTTTCTTGCTTTGATAGGCTTTTTATCTAATCAGACCATTTTTAGAGCTAGCAGGATTATTGGAATTAGGGGAGACATTTGTCTGACCGGTTAATCGTAGACTGGAGACTGAGCCCAGCCAGTGGGCAGGCCACCCATGACCCACCCCCTTCCCCCCTCCCAAGCACTCACTGCACCCGGCTACAGGCGCGCTCCTATGTGAGCTGCCCGATTGCGATATACGTTGCCGGTCCAGCCCGGAACAGGGGGTTGAGGCGTGGAGGAGGATTCAACTATCCTGAAGATGGAAAGGACGGTTTGACGTCGAATCACCATTCTGTCCTGGCATTGTCTCGAGAAAGAGGTTACACGTGAAGGTCGCTGAGAGTGGGGCCATGAAAATTTTGGATTAGGTGTAAACATGATAAACTGGGAGTCGATTTGTTGTGATGCGCTACGCCTTACGCGGGTTATTTGTTAGAGCCGG